GATCCTATAGCAGAGATGCAGGAAAGTTGTCATCTTTTACACTGTTATCTGCAAGTCTGCTGTATGAATAATAATTTCCCAATCTGACAGAGGAAATTCATGTGCTTTTATTCAAGCTTAATCTTTATAGATACAAGGCCAGTATAGAAGATGAGCTACTTGCTATAATGGTATTACAATTTGGTTTAATATTAGAATATGTGCCTATAGTACCTGCTTTCTAAGCAATGATGAATTGCAATGGAAGAAACAATCTTTCCTTTATGCCTTATGGCTAGTGATTTAGTTTATTGGGTTTTAAACCCTAAGGCAGCCAATATTTTTACCAGTGCTTTAAGTAGTCTTCTTGCATAAGCTCAGAGAATAAAAATTGCTTTCTGTATGAACCTTGCTGTAACATTTTCCTCTGTTGTTTTTTTAGTTCCCATTCTGCTATATGCTCTTCTCCACTTTGTGCCAGAATGGCTTCAATTTTGGTCTTAAAGTCTATCCTTGTCCCATTAGTTTTAGCTGACTATTCATATTTCATACTGTTCATATTCATACTTCATACTTCTCATCAAGTAGCTCATGGTGCTGTGAACCACTCAACTGAAAGTCAGCCGGAAGTAGAAAACTGTTCTGAGTATTACAAACATTCATGTTGGATCTTAGTTGTTTTCTCTCTTTTTCACCCGGCAAGATCTCATGACACCATAGGCACTACAGCAAAACAGGAGAAGCTTTCAACAGGAAATCAATGTGGCTTGGCAGCTGGTGAAAGGTCTTCTGCAGGGAGCTACAGAGCTGTGTGAAGGAGTTGGGCAATCCATCACCAGGAGCATGATTTCCAAGTCATTGAAGAAGGAAATAAAGAAGAAAATAAAAATTGATGCAACACCATCACAGCAAGAAGAAGGGATGTAACCTTTAAACAGCAGGTTTTTTCCACTTCTCAGAAGCTTTGGGCATTGTCTTCTTACAGAAGTAGGACAAAGAGCTTGACAAGCCTGTAGACTGATCTTTTGTCAGATCCTAAGGGCAGGGGGATGACACACCTGTTAGCATTTAACCCAGTTTAAACTAGCAGGTTCTGAGAAACAAAGGCTCCCTGAGAGGATAAGGAGAGGGAAAGATGAACCAACTTGATATTGAGAGAAATATTCACCACAACTGAAGACATAAGTACGTGAGGAAGAAGAACGAATCTGCCCAGCCAAAAACCTTCCCTTGCTGTTGCACCATTGGTAATCCTGCTGGTAATGGGACAAAGCTGCTGCCACAGGAAAGCAGATGAAAGCAAAATGTCCCAGGCAGTTCTTCTTTATGCCAGCAAGTTTCTGTGCTTGTCCCAGTCTGAAATTCTCAATCCTATGGTACGTGTTCCTCCAAGGAACAGGGATAAGAAGCTCCTAGTGCTCTGATAGTGCTTTGCGGACTGCTGTGCCAGGGACAAGGCTTATTTCCCCAGGATTATTGTTAATATGCTTTGAATAGGGGACATACAGCCCATCCATGCTCCTTGTGGAGTTTTAACACCCTTTGTTTGTCAAAGGAAAAAATACTCATAGTCCCACCAGTTACCTCTGATCACGCCAGATGTGCCTCACAGCACAATCCTATCAGTCACTGCCTCTTCCCAGGCTGTAAAATGCTTTTCCATGGCATTTGGCTGATTAGGGAGCATGTACAGCAGTTCTTGATGCCTTGGGTCCTTGTCTTTGTTATCCTCTCTCTCTTGCAAGAAGCTCCACAGCCCCTTTGTGGACCTGCCTGTGAATGCCACGAAATTTAAGCAATCAACATGGCAAGCAGAGCAGAAGTGTTTGGTCTGTGCCTAAAGTTGGGCAGCCCTTCTAGAGAGGCACTAGTGACCAGTGCAGAATGCTTTTGGACAGTAAAAAGACAACCAAAATACTGAGATTCTTGAAGAAAAGTAGTGCAAAAAATCTCAGTATGGAGAAGAGGCAACTATGGACATTGAGGGACTACTGCAGTGCTTTCCTGTGCTGCACATCATAAGATAGTGTTAAGTGATGGCAAGTGATTGCACTTTGTTCACATGCCTGATGTGGGAAGACCTCAGGCCCAACAGAGCATGGTGTGGGCACAAAGCTCTCCTGGGTGGTGCAGGCCAATGTAACTCAGCCAGCTCTGCTCTGCTGTGCATTTTTCCTTCAGTCAAAGGCAAAGGTCTATGATGCCTTTTCCTGGGAGCAGTTGTTTATACCTGGATGGAAGAAGGAAGCAGCTTACAACAGATTTGGTTGTATTCCTACCCATTTTGTGCTGACATGAATGTAGCGAAAGAAGACCAGTGGAAAAAATAGATGTAAATGGATATCCTGTCCAGTTCCTGGAGTGGAAGAAAGTATTGCCCCTGCACAGGAAGGAGGTGGTCTTGATGTCATTAAAACCCTGCAGCTGAGCTCTGAAATTGTTTATTATAATCAATATTGTTGTCCAGTAAGCTAACTTTTAAGGCTGTTTTCACTGTTAAAATATCCCAAAAGTTACTGATTCCTTTGGATGAGAGCTAGGATGGAGCTAAAGAACATGACAGTGAAGAGCTGCCCAAAAGCAGCATGCAGTGGCTAAAGCTCAACCAGCTTGGAGGGAAAGACCGGAACAACTTAGATGGAGGAGTTTAGATGAGAAAAATCCAGCCCCAGAGACATAACATGACTTATCAGAGTCCAGATGCACTTGGCACAGCCAGGTCTACTGGCGCTGCAATTTTATCCAAGCAGAAAATACTGTCCTATGCAGAAGGCAGCTAAACCAAAACAATCTAGAACCACTTGCTACCCAAGGTAAAGAGGTCAGGACCATTGTGTTAAATTTTGGGTTGATGTTAGAAGCAGTCCTAACTCATACATCCTTCAGAGAGGCTGATGAAAACACTGTCTTGGACTGGCTGGAGACAACCATGCCATCAGGCCTCAAAAACAGAAGTGTACACTAAGAGATGAAGATGGTACTTCTCCACAGTAAGAGCAATTAGATTTGAATGAGACTGACTTGTCAAACTCTTATCATCTGACCTAGCTGAATAAGCAATTACATACAAGTTAATAAGCAAACCAAGCTACATAAAATGACCTAGCCCTCAGTGCAAAGTCGAGAAAACAGCTGGTGTCCTAGCAAATAACTATGTGGAACTAGCAAGGTTCAGCTTGTTCTGCCAAGTGCTGCAACCACCAGAATAATTGAAAATGGTAGAGTACTCATCTTCTTTTTCCTTGGATATTGGGGTTAGCTCTTGCCTGGTTTCAGTAGAGTACTATGGGAAGCTGAGAAGTAAAAAGGCATAAAACTGTTAATTCAAGACAGAATAGAGATATATGCTGATCCAGGTTGCCTTCAGGTGGGTAGGAACAGCTACTCCACATACCCCTGTAAAATGACCTGTACTGGATGAAATGCTGCAAGGTTCCTTGCAGACATTTCTTTATCAGAAGTGCTTGTTAAATAAGGACAAGTATAAATCATAGAAAGGAAAAATGTCTCACATTGCTGAGAGGAAAGAGAAAGAGGTTATAAGAGTCCACAGAAAGCAAAGGATGAGACTAGAATTATTACAGACTGCATGAAACAAGACTAGTAAACAGATAAACACAGAAGGATGAAAGTGTATATTGAATGCTACCCACAGCACCCTAAAGTACACATATGAAGGGTCATTGTCATAAGCGGGGATATTATCAGTTTGGGGAAGAAAAGTTTAGAACTTCAAAAGAATCATTTTTGTGCCTTTGAAAGTAGGTGCCACTCCTGAATGGATCTGCCTGTGCTTTGCCATCAGGGAGTAATAATGGGAGGAGTTTCAGCAACGAGAGTAAAATAATATTGATTTCTTCCTGGATGTGGCAGAGCAGGTAATAAATCTTCAATAAACTGTGAATGAAGCAGCGTTTCAGATTTTTGCTTTGAAAGAGAGTGCATATAGCAAAGAAATAGTTATCCATCCTGGCAATTAGGGGGGATGCAATTGCCATCAATCATGGTGCAGGGATGGAGATCCCACAAAAGCCAGCCCCCCTCCTTCTCTGTAAGCAGATCCTTGCCGAGGTGGGGTGCCTGGGGGGTGGTGGTGGTTGTTTCAGCACGTGAGTCAGGAAGACAAAACGCCATTTCCCCTGGCAGGATTCCCACAGAAAGCGGTCAGCATGGGGGCTAGCCTCTGGGAGTGGCCTGGAGCACACGTCTTATGAGGAACCCCTGAGGGAATTGTGGGTCTTTAAGCTGGAGAAGAGAAGCCTCAGGGAGGACCTTACCACTCTCTACAGATACCTGAAAGGAGGAAGGAGAGAGGAGGTGGCTGATCTCCAAAGTAACACAAAAAAGGACAAGAGGAAATGGCCTCAAACTGTGCCAGGGGAGGTTTAGACTGGATATTAGGAACAATTTCTTCGCTGAGAGGGTGCTCAGGCACTGGAAAAGGCTGTGCAGGGCAGTGGTGGAATCGCCATCCCTGGAAGTGTTAAAAAACCGTGTACATGAGGGTTCTCAGTGACATGGTTTAGTGGTGGCTTCGGCAGTCCTGGGGTAAGGGTTGGACTTGATGATCTTAGAAGTCTTTTCCAACCTAGCTGATTCTATGATTTCCTTTCATATTCAGATAAAAGCCAACCTCCCCTACTCCCACCTGCGGGGGGCGGAGGAAGGAGGCAGTAAGCTTGAATCACATAACCCGAGAACTGTGCAAAAAGAACAAAACCACAACGTGCCGCAAAGCCTCACGGAGCTCTCCCGCATCCCTCACACCCAAAGCGCAGACAAGGGCCGCAAACCTTCCGCTAAGGCCCCGCAACGGGAGAAGAAAGAACCGCTGCGACCGCCCGGGGTTTAAATACCCCGCGGGGGGCGGGCCGGCAGCGCAGCTCCGCCCGTTCCCCCCGCCCCGTTCAGCTGACAGCGGGGCTGCTCGTTGTCCTCCCGTCGCCGACGGAGCTGCTGCTCGGTGCCCGCCAGCTGCGGCCTGCGCGCCCCCGCCGGGGATGGGGGGCGGCGCGCCGTGACCGGCCACCCGGGCGCGTCCCCACCAAGCAGAGCCGCGCTGCCGCAGGGAGCCGCCGCCGCCGGCGGGATGAGCGGGAGCGGCGCCCCGGGGCCCGGCGCGGCTCCTTGCCGCTTCGCCCACTACTTCGTGCTGTGCGGCATCGACGCGGAGAGCGGGCTGGAGCCCGACGAGCTGGCAGGTGAGCAGTAGCGGCGGGGCCCGGCCCGGCGCCGCGCGGAGGCCTCGTCCGCACCCGCACCGCTGCGGCTGGCCACGGCCCGGCGGGCTTTGGGGATCCGTTGCCTCAAAATATCTGGCGCCTCCCGCGGAGGGGCGAGGGGGTCTCCGAGCCGGCAGGAGCCGCGGGGGGAGAGCAACTTTGAAGGATGAAGCGCCCGCCGAGTGGCCGGGGGAGCATCCCCCGAAGGGCAGCGTTTGCCGGTCAGGCGGCCGCCGGGATGCGCCCTCCCCGCAGGCAGGGCCCCGCGACCCGCCGTTGGCCCTGGTCCCTAATGGTGGAAGAGGAAAGGGAGCTCCCCGCGGTGGGCTACGACGGGGGGGGAGAAGGGTACCCGGGGTTACGAGATTGGAAGGAGCCGAGTGACCGAGGTTTCTGCTGGGGCGGATGGATAGTCTTCCCTGTTTGCGCTGGAAAAGGCGGAGAATAGGATGTGGGATATGGGAAGAACTGAATAAAATAAGAGAATCACATCTTTAATTACGCTTCTTTATTCACATCTTATGTCTGTTCAGAAAATAGTCTTCCTGCATCTTTCCTTCTTCCTCCACCCCTGAAAATGTTACAGAATCTAAGAACAAAATTATTACTATGGGATCTAACACATTAGCCAAAATGTTTAGTTTTGGAGGGTTCGTGACTGGATGTGAGCTGATTATGTTGGTATAAGGCAGTATTTCTTCCTAAATGTCACTTTTGTTTATATAAAAGGAGCTGTTTAAGTCGTGATTTTACACAGAGAACTAGATTGTCTGTAAGCTTAATAATGGGGCTGAATGCATCGGAGCTGAACGTTTCCTCCTTGAGTTAGGAGTCTGAAAGCATGTAAATGCTTACAGTTTGCCATTCCTATGCGCTCGCACTGCAGGCAAATGGGTGAATGTGGCTGAAGCTGAAAGCAGCGTTGCTGTCACGGTGGGCACCTCTGGGGGTGAGATCCCGACAGGGTCTCTGCTTCTGTTGCATCAGGAAACACCTTGCCTCCTGGTTGTGTGAGAGAAAGACTTGATGATCTGTATCAATGATCAGTGTACTCTGGCTGAAGTTCATATGTTTGTCACCTGTAAAAGAGCACACACTAGAGGTAGCCCACAGATGTCCAAGTTGAAGCATTAGCCAAACGTGCTTTAATCTCTGCTGTTACGCATGTATTTGTGACTGCAATTGTATGTTTTCAGTTTTGCTGCTTTTAGTGGGAAACTCCTGCCTCGTGAGCCATCTCTCAGCTGATGGCATACAGTGTTTGGTTTGCATAATATGACCTAGTGGGGTTTCAGCTACTTAAACTTTGAGTCATCTCGAAGTCTTCTATCTGAAAATAAACTATTTTTAAAGCAGTGCTGGCTGGCAGGCTGTGCCTTCCCTCATGAGTACCCAGACTTTCAAACTTGGCTTTTGCTATTTCCCAGCAAGATGTGCTGGTGTGTTCTCAGAGAGTGCTGCTCAAGGACAGCCAGAATGTGGTGGGCTCCTGCTTGGATGCAGCACTCATCTTTTGTGGTCATTCAGTAGGTTTAGCTGAACTGCTCCAGCAACACTAAAAAGATTTCAAAGCTAAAGGAAGTCTCCCTCTTCATTTTTCATTAAAGGAAAGGCATTTTGGCACATCTGGGATACTCCTATTTATCAAATAGAACACAACTCTGAATAATTTCAAAGAGAAATTACCAGAAGTAGTTATTTTGGAAGAAAGTGGGGTTCTTTTTATTCCTTCCTCTCTAGCAGAAATGTCTTTAACTGGTTTAAAATACGCAAGGTCCAGCAGTATGGCCTGAGCACACAATAACTGTTGATAGTGCAAATTTGGGAGGCACTCTCAGTACCTAGGAGGGTTGGGATATGATAGAGGAAGAAGTGGAATAACAGAAATATGATGGGACTTAATATTGCCACTGAGCAATGTTATATTTTTAGGGACTCATGACAAGAGTTTTCTGCTATCAGCTGGGAGCACAGCAGTTGGAAATGTTAGAGAGGAACAGGGAGTGCTGTGAGCCACAAATATAATGCAGCCATGGAAAAATTAACTCTGGTTTTAGATGTAGCTGAGGGGAGTATTAATGCCACTGTAGGCAGGCAGTAGCGAGATCCCTTCTAGAAATCTGTGTTACAGGTTTCAAAACCCAAGTTACTACAATTGAATTCATTACCAGAATAGGTGGGGAGGAAGATGCTTGAGGAACCAGAAAGTCTATTGTATCACAGGAAACACAGAAATTAATGCTATTTCTTTCTAAAGGTGCTCTTACAATGTTTTGCAGAAAGAAATCATCCTACTCTTTCAGTATTAAGTTATGTAGCTGTGATAGTTTTACATCATGCTCTTCTCATGCTTAAAGAATTTGTCGAGGTAAGTCACAGCATCAATGCAGAGTTGCTGTGACTTAAGCCATTGCACAAATCATACCCGATTTAGCAAAAAAGTAATCAAGAACCTGCTTATCTCCACACGTGTGAATCCCTTAGCAGCTGGCATACACACAGTGCCTTGCTTAAGCCAGGTCTGACCTAATGGAGCTGTGCCAGGGCTGAGCAGAGGAGCATGAGAGGAGCTCTTCTGCAGGGCCTCTCCTGTGAACAGAGAAGCACAAGTTACAATATCCTCAAGGGATTTCCAGCTTCCAGATGGACTCATTGGTGATGAGCTGGGGCACAGGCACCTCGCTGGGGTGCGCGGCGTGCTAAGGAGCTGCTGGTGAGTCAGCTCTGATGTCATCTGGAGCTCCCTGACCTGCGCCCTCCCTATGCTGGGAACAGTGCAGGAGCCACCCCTTGTGAAGGCTTTCCATGCCTGATGGCTTAAACACAAAACCTCTTTCCATGCAAACCCTCTGCAGTAAAAACAAAATCAAACAAACCCACAGCAAAAAAAAGTCATCTACTGTGTCAGGCTTGAAGGGAACTGTTTCAGTGATGCTCTTGGAGACAGGGCGTTTTTAATACTTATTGTGGAGATGTTAGGTCTATTTACAAACCGAAATAAAACCAAGGTTTTGAAGTTGCATTAGGTCTTGACATGCCTTTAGGGAAGAGTGACTTGCTTTATATATAGTTCCTTGTTCCTGTGGATGCTCAGCACTTAAAATAAATTTGGTAGATGAGGATTTTCCACCATTGGTTTTTAATAGGAAATTGCTCCACAGCTGGCTTCTCAAATGGGCTCATTTTGGGGTTTAAAATTAATTAGTTTTGAAAAGTAAAAAGCTATTTACCTAATTGTTCAACTTGGTAGTGCATACAAGCACACAGCAAAGTAGCATATGGACTGTAATACTGTCAAAATACTTGTGGAACCATCAAAAAGCTGTCAGTCAAGGATGGAAGAAAAAAAGTCTCTCTAGCGAGGTAGTTTCCTTTCCTCTCTCCTGTAAGCACTTAATAGCTAGAGAGGTCAGTAAAGAAAAATGGGGGTTTTGATGTGAAGTATCTTGAAAAGCATGAAAATTTCAGTATTGGGTTTTGTGCCCTGTTGAACTCCACTAACATAGGATGAAGGGAGCTTGTCTCTCATATTCAGGGCTGATGGAAAATACCTTTCAGTTCACTTTCAGCTTCATGACTACTTCTTCCAGGTGAAGCCATTTTGAGACGGTATCAGTCTTGGAATTGCGTGAGCTTAAATGAACTCGTTATATGTAACACTGCCTTAAACAAAAAGACCTAATTGTTCATTAAATTGTTTCTATTAAATATTTTTTCATACTATATGAACTTTATCAGTGTATGTGCAAGGTATGAGATTTTTCTGGCTGTAGTAGATTTTACATTTTGCTCTGAGAGCATGTTAAATTTTATAGGTTCTTGTTACAGAGTGCCACAAACGACAATTTAGCAAAATCCAGAATATATATGACTCAATTAAGAAGAAAATTAAGTATCTTTTATTGGGGAAATAATTTAGTGCTCTGGAGTAAAGTATAGAGAGAATTACCGGTGGGAGTTCTGTTCCCAAGTGGAAGGTCTGTTCTGTGCTCCATTGAGGATGCTGTTGCTGGAGCGGTTTGGAAGGAGAGGGGATGAGTGTTTGGAAGGGGAGAGAAGAGCTGGCACGTGAACTGCAGCCTGAAGGACCATGTTGGATGGTGCCTTCTGCATCTCAGAACTTGCATGTTGGTTGAGTTGTGGTAGCTCTCTTGCTGTGTGAAATGAAAAGGTTTATAGCTGATTTTTTGACTCTCTTTACAGTGACGAGACATTCCATTATCTTGTCTAGTAACATATTTTGTATTGTCTAGTTTTAACCATTGCATAATATAATAATAAGTTCCCCTATCTTACTGTCCTGGTTCAATGTATTCTTTAAAACTGTAGAGAGCTTCATTACTCTACTTTTAAGATCAAATTTATTTTTTCTTTTACTTCTATTCCTTTATGATGAGTAAAGCTGAGAGTGTGCACTGGCCGTGCTCATTGGAAATGCTGAGCATCTTGGGGAAAATAAACACTACTCCTGCCTCATGCTGTTTCCCTACCAATATGCAGGTATCGGGTATTAATTTTCCCCCAGTGAAACGTAACTTCAGTTCATAGTGTTGAAAGCCAAACAGGGCATGCTGCAGTCTGGCTAACTGTGCCTCTTATCTAGAAGGCTCTTATTTTTAGAAAGCTGAAAGACTTTTTTTTGTCCTTGTGTGCTCTTGGCACCTGTGTGCTCGCGCCTTGCAGAGTCTCCCCGCAGCCTGTGCACTTCCCCATCTCGCTTCCTTCGTGCCGAGTCACCCTGCAGTGTCTGGTGGCATTACTACAGAGATACAACTTCTTGTGTAGGTGGCTTTTCTGAAAGCAAGTGATTGGGTTTTTTCCTAGTTAACTGGAAATAGACTGAGAAATGTCCCTTGACAAAGGAATTTCTAAGCAGTTGCGGTTCCTGTTCATAACTTAGTTGTCGTAAATGAAAAGTGACTACAGGAGTTTTGCTTTTCATTTTTTAAGTACAGTCCAGTGTTGCATAAAGCACTGTT